TCTATTATTTCTTTTCTTCTTTTATATATATTCGAACCAGGTGGACCCTACGAGGTAAACAGGTTTAATGAACTTAAATTATAGGTGACCTTTTAGTCTGGAAATTTACATCTTTTTTGGTATTTCTAGTCCAAGGAGATTACAAAATTTCACGGGCTACGATAGCGGGCAGCGTTCTCCTCACATTATCCACAATTCAATGGCTCATCATTTTGGAGATGGCTTCTTGATCTAGATCGTGAGTTGCTATCCTATTCGGTTCCGAAAGAGTGTAGTGAGAACAATATCTTCATTGTTCAATGTCCTGATCCTGAACAAGGGGCTAAGAGCGTGGATGATGAAAGGATATATTGAATTAGGAACACATGCCGTGGCATGTTATATATATATATGTATATGTATATATATATATATATATAGTATATATGCTTGATAACCGTTAGAACGTACGTGCTACAATGATATTGAATTTTTGTATTTGTGGATTGTAATATTCATTGTTGATGAAAGAAAGATGAAAATTCCCCAAAATCAAAGAAAAACTTCTTTTTATTAAGTAACATTCATTAACATTGTATTCGAAAAGCTTGTTTATGTACATATCGTTCATTTTATTAGTTTTTGTATTTTATTTATTTCTTTTTCTACGCTTTTGTACAATACAAAAACATGCATGTTAATCGAAAACAACCATCCATACCTGCGTCTCACCAATAACAAATAAATTCTGTAAAACATTTAGTTCGAGCGAAACATTGATTAATTCATCACAGCAACAAGCAACCACGTGACAATTTACGTCATCAATCCCATAAATCTCATTTTAAAAAATTGCGAATAAATGGTATTTTTTTTTTCAAATTTTCAAACTTTCACGTTCGTGTCCAGAGAGCCTTGAACCGGCTATGAGGCAAAACTGAGTTGGGCCAATGCTATAATCTGGATTATCTTCAATTTTTGGAATTATTTTCCATGAAAAGTATTTGGAAAGACGCGTGTAAAAAATTCTTTACAGTATGATAGATGTTAACATTCCATGCACCAAGGAGAAGTGAAATTGATTTTTGCCAGAAAATCATCCAAAACCTTACGGTTTGTAAATCCGGGGTGTCAAGACACGTGTACTCCTTTATTCCAAGTGGTCCGATGCACATTGGCGTGTCGTGCGAAGGATATTTTTTTTTCTATATTAATAAACGAATTAAGAATGGTATGGTGCCAATTCTGAATATGGTTTTATTAGATACTCTATAAAGTTGCCTGACTTTTGCGCGAAGGGTGTGTGTGATGTAACACATTTTCAGGTTTGCTCATATTAAAAATCTACGATGGCATTGAATGCCCCTGCAAAAATTCCTTCATGATGCATCTATGGACGGGTGATTTTAAATGTTTTACGGAACGACATAATGCAAATTTCTGCATTCACTACATAGTTTAACCGATCTTTAACATGTTACGTACGTCTGTGTTGTCACACGCTTAAGTACTGTCTAATGCTATGATAATTGTATTAAATAATTTGCCTAACAAAAACCAATAACATACCTTAGTTTTTTTTTGATTCCGTGCGAATTTATTTTTTTTGCCTTAATCTATTTGGTCGAAATACCAAAAAAATATGTTGGAAGAGGATGATACCCTTTCCGGCCCCTTCTTCGAGTCCGTGAATTTTCAGGTACCGTCTGACATTCCTGAAACCCCGGATGTCAGACAAAGTCTCTCATTTATGACAGATTCATTAAATATGAACCTGAATATTGGCGGTAACCCGTGGGATCCTCCTTCGACAATGGGTGTCGACATCGCAAATATTCTATGTAAGCCTTACGAGTTCAATGCGAACTCATTATTGGTTGACTTTCACTGACTCTACTAAATTATTCCTTTCTCAGCTGACGTTCCTCTACCAGAAATATATTCAACAGCCTTCGCGCTAGCTTCACCAATTGTAGAGAGAGTTTCTGTCTCTGCTTTAAATAAGATTTTAAGCGTTAGCGGGCTCCCTCACGCGATGATAGAAAAAGTATTTTTCATTTGACTTATAAATTTACTGTAACTTCAAATTTTATATTAAGGTCCTCACTAAAATCATTAAAGATTTTAAATTTGGCTGCACCTGCCAACAATGATAGCACTCGTGTTAACCGAGGGGAATTTAACGTCGCGCTTGCATTGGTGGCGTTAGCTCAGAAGAATATGGGTAGGGTTCCATTAATTTGGTGTTGAATTGAATATCTTGTAAAGAACAAGTCTATAAAATTAACGTCTCAACTCGATTATCTTGATTGATTAGATGTTTCAATCGAAACGCTAATCGAGCGAAAGCAAGGTATTTTATCCGAATCTTTCTCATACGATTATTCTTGAATTAACTCATCTTTGTCGTGTAGACCTTCCGGAACCAATCCTAACGAATCTGGAGGGCATCAATTTTAATCGAAATTTGAGTTTCTCCACGATTTCACGTCCTCCACCCATTACTGCCCTTCAGGCTGATGATCCGTGGGCCACACCTTCAACAAATGGTGAGCATACAAGTTCCTCATTTACAGCAGAACCTATATCTGAATTCTCTCCACCGACACGTGTGATTGCACCGCCTGTTACTCGCACCTTGCTTCGAGAAGAAGACTTCCAATGGTTTTTGGACATGGATGTGATCACAGTAAAGTTTGCACCTGAAAGAGAAGGCTTTCTCTTTAAACACGTGAATTATATTGTGGAATCTCAAGTAAGAATATGGATGCGCGATTAACATCTTCTGAGTTCGTTCCTTTCACAGGGCTAGTCTATTAATTCCATTTAACGGGTGGTTTTTATTAAATGAAGCGACTGGGGACGAGAGTGATCAGAAGATACAGCGATTTCTGGTGGCTGATGGAATGCCTTGTGAAAAAGTACCCATACCGAATTTTACCTGCTCTTCCACCAAAAAAGATTGGAGGTATTGATTATCTTCCAACGTTTTGATCGATCATCCACATAGATCAGTCGAGTAACGCCATGATCTTCTTATCTAGTCAACGGTTTCTATTTCACAGTCGACGAATCTTTTCTGGAGAAACGGAGAAAGGGGTTAACCCGGTTTTTAAATTTCATTTCAAGACATCCCGTTCTGAAGGATGATGAGCTGGTGGAGATGTTTCTCAAAGAATCGACGGTAAAATATTTTTAAAATGATAATGTAACATCTTTATTTCTGGAATCTCGAATATCGGTTAAATCTTGGAATATGCAGGAGATAGCGGTTTGGCGTAAAAACAACACACCAGATTTGGAAGAGGAATATCTGAAGAAAGAAGTTACTCCGGAAATGGAACAACTAATACCAGACAACTTGGACGAAAGATTGGATAAAGTGTTGAAGAGGTTGGATGACGGTATTGAACATTATAGAAACATGTGCAATCTAATGGAGCGCGTCGCTCGTCGCCATGAAGGTCTGTTCGTTTTGATGCATCGTCTATAGCGTGTTTTGATATTTACTCCATGCTTAACTTCTATTGTATTAAAGGCACGTCTGCTGATTACATGAGATACAGCCTAGCATTGAAGTGGGTTCAAAAGTTTAATTGATTGTTGTCTCATGGTGATACACTAAGTTCTGAAATTATTATATAAATATAATTGCAGTTCATTGATCGAGAAAGAAAAAGGTTGTTGTTACCTTGATAATTGCTACAACTGCAGTCAAGTGATTAACGGTCTGGAACAAGTGTCAAGTCATTTTCAAAAGACAAGTACCATCATGGAAGATATGGTATGTTGCTTTTATCAAGTATGATTATCTCGATGAGTACAGTATTATTTTAAGCGCGATCATTATTATTTTGAAACATCAAGTCTACGACTATGATTGAAACGGTGTTGGAAAATTTGAAAGGACACCGTGATCTGCTAGTATCATTCAGAGTATGTATTTATTTATTTCTTTTCCTCTTCTGATTGAATTCATTAATGAACGCAACGTTTTACTGATTGTTTCAGGAAACATTCGAGAGAAGAGACAGACTGGCTGTAGATTCGACTGATACTCTGAATAATAGAATAGCTGCTAATGAAGCAAGACTCACACCGTTAAAGGGAAAGGAAGGAACAGATCCGGAGGTGGAAAGGCTGTCCACAGCAATCAAAAAGGTAATGAATAAATCCCAAAGAAGTTTATATTATGGTATTTGCTCAGGTTACATTTAATTTATCGAACTTAGGATCAGGAAGACGTTCAGTATCAAAGACAACGAAAAACCTTTGTGCGTTATTGTCTGTATGCGGAGCTGAGCTTGTTTCACAAAAGCACCGCTTTCGTTTCTCTTCTATATCAGAACTTTGTGAACGAACAGATTAAATATTCACAACAACTCTACGAGAATTGGAAACAGTTGAGTCCAAAGGTTTACGAGATGCCCGTTGAGACAAACGGATTTGGTTAAAGTCAATTTTACTTAAATTTATCCGTTTTTTCGATGTGACATTGGCGGGGGGAAAAAAAAAAAGAAAAAAAAAATTGTGTGGGACATGTATGATATAGACATTTACGATGTATATTTTTACTGAACCCTTTTACCAACAAACATTGATTTTTCCAGCATTCACAACTTTATGGTGTTTAACACTTACAGATTATTTATCTCTAAAATTGTCATCATAAGCAACTTTTTTCGCACGCGAAATTCTGTCTCGCTAAAGGTTGATGTCATTTAGTAGTGACAAAAGAGGTCATGCCACACTCGCTCATATCCAATTTTTAATTCTTCCACTCGACATCACTACAATCACCTTCATCGGGTTCTGTCGCAAACAGGAATAAATAAAAGTTTAAAGTTAACCCGATAAGGATCTCAGATCGTGATTATATACGTTTTTATCAAACTTATTTAACTGTGATCTGTTGATCGACACAAACTATGGTGATTTCAAAAAAAGTTGCAATTTTACACAATTATTCTATTATATACCTTAATTATTATTTAATGTTGTTTAGAAATAAAGTACAAACATGATGGATACACATATTTCTAATTCAAATCAATAAATAGGTTGAAGCATGCATAGAGTATATTGAACAAATTAATTCGTTAATTTAAACAGTAAAATTATTTATATTAGAATATAAAATTTTCAAAAATATTAAGATATTTGAATTCAAAGTTGTTAATAATATATTGTTAAATAATTATACAGTGTGTTGCAAAATTTTTTGGAATTTTTTATTTATTTGTTATTCAAAAACTATTGCATAAAGATTAATAAATAATATATCAAAATAAAGCTTAAAATCTAGAGATTATAATAATATAAATTTTATATAAAAATGTTTTTTAAAACTTTTTTTTTATAATATCAAAAATAAATATAAAATTCTATAACTTTATGAATTTAAATACAATAAATTTAAAAATTAATTAATAATAAATATAATATTATATTTTTTGAATAAAAATTTTTTTCATATTTTAATTTATAATTAATTCAGATATTAAAGTTTTTAAAAAAAATTTCAAAAAAGTTTTGTTATACAGTATATTGTATATTATAATAAAAATAATTTTTCACTTTAAAAAAATATATTTATATATTTAACATAGAATTATTAATGATACTATTTTTAATATTAGTTTAATATTGGTTTAATATTATAAATTTATATAATTAAATTATAATTTATATGAATTTATTATAGATTAATATTATTTTAATATTAGATTTAATATTTTTTAAAGTTTTGATCTAATATTAATCTTTAATTTAAATTTATTATTTAAATTTAAGGCTAAAAAAAACAACTAATAAATTTAAATCAGAAAAGAATTTTATTTTTGAAAAAAGAAATATACTTTTTTTTAAAAAAATAAATTTAATTAACTTTTTTTTTTTTTAATAAAAATTTTTTAATTTTATTTCTTTATTCTTAAATATTTTAAATATTTTTTATAATTTATTATTTAATTTGATTTTATAAAAAATAAATATTATTATTATATTTTATATTATTTAAATATTTTATATTAGAAAAATTTTTTATTAATTGCCACTATCTTTTAAGCTACTTTCAATTTCACTTATATTCTTATATGAGCTAATAGAAATAACTTTAAAAGGCCTAATTTTAATTAATTTAAAAATATTTTCTAATACATAATAAAATAGGCAAATAAAAAACATTGTTAATAATATAATAAATATTATTAGTCTTAGATAGCTGTTTTTTTTTTTAATTGATTTTTTAAATAATATCTTTATTAGATGATATATACAGTATAATTAAAGTAATATAAAAACTTTCTTTAAAAAATATTTACTTATTATAACCTAAGCTCTAATATACAAGATATAAAAATATGAACATCACTTGTAATACGAATTCAGTAAACTTTTCCAATGAAACTTTTAATAAAGTCATCTTGTTATTTGAAAGAAGTTTTCAAATGTATGTTTATTATTCAATAAAGCGTAGTTTTTTAAATGCATTTATTCGTGAAGATGGCTATTAAGGCACTGTGTCATATCAGAGCTTAAATTCTAATATATAATGCGCACCTCATTAGCAAAATAATTAAGATAATTAGATTTTTTTCTTTTGCGAAATAATTGCGAGTATATAAACGAGAAAAAAAAAATTTATCAATTATACACAAATTCAAACTTTCACATACGGTAGAGACATGCCTTATTCAAACCAAATTAGACGGGTATGTAAATTCCTCAAGATCGACGAAATTTTCCTTAATAGCACGCATGGAAACGAATCGATACAACTGTTTTTCCGATAAATGGTAAAATTCAATAAGAATTATTTAAGATATGACATTAACATATGGATTATTTATTAAATTACGTATTAATTACCAAAGTTTGACTTCCAGCTTTGTCGTTGGTACCAGATGCACGAGATCCACCAAATGGTTGTTGACCAACAATAGCACCAGTAGATTTATCGTTGATATAGAAATTTCCAGAAGCATTCCTTAGTTTGTTTTCACCCAACACAACGGCTGAACGATCCTGAGCAAATCTAAAATTTGATTTAAAATTATAAGAACCATGAGTAAAAGATCACGGAACCACCCTTTTTTATTGCAACTTAAGCACTCACATAGAACCAGTTAAAGCGTAAGTAGAAGTTTCGTTTACTAGATCGAGCGTTTTTTCGTATTCATCATCATCATACCTAATAGAAATGTTATCATTAGTCACGGCGTAACATTTATTTGAGAAACAAATACTTACACGTAGATGGTAAGAACAGGCCTATTATATGAAAATTAATCATAATTTATTAAATAAAAATGTCTTTATTCTCATATTTTGACTTAATATAACTTATAATTACCCAAAGATTTCTTCTACCATGGTTTTACTTTTTGGATTTTTTGTGACAATGATTGTTGGATATATGAAATAACCTTTCGAATCATCCATATTTCCTCCTGCAATAATTTCACTGTCTAAAGAATCCTTTGCCCAGTCAATATAAGACTTAATTTTTTTAAAGGCAGTAGCATGTCTAAACATTAAACAATAAGTTCGTTAGATGATACACAGAATGTATATTTTTTAATATAAACATTCAAGCTTACATAACCGGACCCATAAAATTTTTATAATCTAGAAGTTTACAGAAATGAATAATTTAATGATTGATGAAATAAAATATCAAACAAAAATAATACATACCTTCCACTGATCCAACTTTAATCTTGGAATGTTCTTTTAGCAATTCCTCACGAAAGGCATCCCATAAAGACATTGGAACATAAGCTCGAGAAGCTGCAGAACATTTTTGACCTTGATATTCGAAGGCTCCACGAATTGTTTGCTGGACCGCGTTTGCCAAATTGGCGGAGCCGTGAATCACGTGGAAATTCTTTCCGCCAGTTTCACCCACTATTCTAGGATAAGACTTATAGATCTCAATATTATTACCAATATCCCTCCACAACTTTTTAAAAACGGCCGTAGAACCAGTAAAGTGTAACGAGGCAAAATCTGGTGATCGTAATATCCGTTCGGTTATTTCAGTAGCAGGACCCGGAATAAATTGAATTACCCCATCGGGTAGGCCTGCTTCCCTCAATATTTGCATAACAATCCAATTTGAGAGAACAGCACTGGGTGATGGTTTCCAGAGTACAACGTTTCCCATCAATGCAGGTGCACTTGGAAGATTAGCCCCAATAGCTGTAAAGTTAAATGGTGTAACCGCATACACGAAGCCTTCTAGTGGACGATATTCCAAGCGATTCCAGACTCCTGGTGAATTCTTTGGCGGCTGTTGCTGATAAATATCAAGAGCATATTTGGCGTTGAATCTCCAGAAGTCTATTAACTCCGCCGCGGCATCAATTTCAGCTTGCCTAAATACATAATAATCAAGTTTTATTGTATATATTGCAAGAAAATTTGGCGTTTAAACACCTACCACACGTTTTTTCCCTGACCAAGCATCGTGGAGGCCAACAGTAGATACCGATATTTTCCAGCCGCTAAATCAGCAGCTTTAAGAAAGATGGCACATCGATCATTAATTGGGTAGGATTCCCAGCGAGTTTTGACCGCTAATGCTCCTTGAATTGCCTTTTCGACAAGTAAACTATCGGCTTCATGATATTTTGCTAGAACGGTGCTGTGATTTGAAGGGTTTTTTTGTTCCGCTACTCTCCCAGTGCGAATCTGTTATGTAGAATATCAATCATAATTCCCGACTAAATATCAATTCGTCAATATAAACTTACCTCTTCTCCGTTAACGAAAACAGGAATTTCGATTGGGACTTCGGATTTAAGCTTATTTAATGCATCTTGTAGTTTGGAACGGTCATCGGTGTGTGGAGCATAACTTCTCTATTAAAAATTTTTGAAGATTCAGATAAATTTTAATTTATACGGAATTCGACCCTACACATACCAATGGTTCATTGTTAATTTCCGGTGTTTTGAAGACACCAAGAGTAGGTGTGGAAAAAGGCATTACGAAATATCGTTTCTGCAAAAAAAAAAAAAGGTTCCATTTAAATACAATATCGGGCTTCGATCACGTTCCCAATCATTACCGTAATAAGGTTAGAATTCCTGATTTCTCTCTCATTATTTATGAAAAAAGGGATGCGTATACGATTCCAAATTCTGCAAAGTCTATTACATGCCTCATATACTGGTACATAACTTAACAAAATTGGTTAAGTCCTACGGGTTGCAAGTTCTTTTTCCCAAGATTTGTATTTGATAACTTTATTCAATTAATAATTTTCAATCTGTGTATTCGCTTTACTCTCCATTCTATTATTTCAAACACGAGATACTCAAAAAAGAAATCTTTCTCTGCAATATTTTTTAAATATGACACTTATATAAAAAATTTATATTATAAAATACATTCATAAATTTATTAATACCTTAATAACTTATTGTTATAAAATAATGTAAAATAATTTTATTAAAAATAGGTCAAAAAAATTTACAAATTAAAAATTATTTATAAACAGAATTAGAAATTAGAAATTATATTAAAATGGAGTATTGAAAAAAGTTTATATGTATACAAAATAAAATAAAATAATGTAGTTATAAAATCTATTAAAATTTATAAATAAAATTTATTGTAATGTTGTTACTGTATATCGAAAAAGACTTTAATATTTTTGTTATATAGAATAGAATTTTATAAAAAAAATTATAACTTTATTAATAATATAATACGTTATTTAAAAACGTAAAAAAAAACCGTTTTTTTTTGTTTTTTTTTAATTGTTTAATTTAATGTATAAATAAAAAATTATATGCAAGTAATTTTCATATTGAGGGAAAAAATGAAAAATACAATTGATTTAAAATTAAAAAATAAAATAAAATAATTAATTATTAATATATAAAATATAGATTTTAATTTATAATAATCGCTTAAAATAGAAATATGAATTATTTATTTATATTATATTATTTATTTATATTATTTAAGCCTATATTATTATATATTTTTTTTGAAATAAGTGTATAGAAAAAAGCAAATAAAAAATATATATGTTTAATAAGTTATATAATTTTTAAAGAAAATTTATTATTATATTTTAATTTTATTTATATCTATTTATTATATATATAGAATTCAAAAAAAAATTTTATTTATAATTAAATAAAATCATACAAAATTAAATAAATAAAAAAATTTTATTGTATTATTATAATTCAAAAATAATCATAATAAAATTAATTTGTTAATTAATATATTATTTTTATTTAATATTTTAATTTTGATAAAAAAATTGTTATATTTCTTTTAAAGTATTTTTTCAATATTATAAAAACAATAATTTTTTTTATTTTTTAAATAAAAAATTTTTAAGCATAAAATAAAAGAAATTTTATAAAATATTATTAATTTAAATTAAAAAAATTTTTAAATAAAAATTATTTTTTCTATTTAAATATTTTTAAAATTTTAGTTTTTTAAAAATCATAATACAGTAAATTATTATTAAATAAATAATTTAAAATAAAAATTTTTTTAAGTTAATTTATTTTTAATATTTTGTATATATTTATTTTTTATATATTATATATATAGTAGTACAAATAAAAAATATTTATTTATTTATCTATTTTATATTATATACATAATTATATTATTATAAAAAAATTTAATTAACAATATGATTATAAGTAAAATATATATATATATATATATATATTTATTGCAAACAGGCATTAAATACGGAATATTTATTAAACATGGTTTATCGTCATTACATTAACAATCTTTAGTTACAAAGTAATTAAATTAATTGTAGCCTATCG